ACTTTATATTTGTTAGTTATTTGACTCGTGCATTTTTATTCGCTTTCTACAAAACATTTATCGCTTTAAATAATAAATTTTTTTAATTAATTGGAACTAGTCACAACTTGTTTCATAAATAGAGGTCACAATTTATATTGAAATTGAAATAATTTACTCTATTTCATAAAATTATTTTGCTTACAATGTCACTATAACACATTGCGGAAAAGTAACATAGACGAATGTTAAGTAGCCCCAATTAATTATGCTCAATCATCGTCGGACACACAGTCCCATTCGGAAAACCCGCGTCGACCTAATCGCTGCCAATTTATTTAATCGAATAAAGAAGGGCTTACGCTGGAGATCCCAAATTCCTGGTGTGCGACATGGTATTCGCATTACGAAAGGCCGGGTCTGGCTTTCTGACCACCCGAGTAGCAAGTGTGTGCAGAGGTTACAGTTAAGGTGGCCTGTTAGGAGCGGAAGGGTTGGCGGAACTCATTCGGGGACGAGTGGAATATGAGAGACCGACAAGGGTGAGACAACAAAAGCGTTGTACTTTTGACCAGTAGGCTACCGCCGTATTTTCAAATATGTGCGCGTTATATTTCCTGCGGTTTGCTTATTTTACATACATATTGCACACACGCGTACGCCACTTTTATTAAACGCAGTCATAATTTCCACTGTATCTCTGCTACTGAAGACGTCATCTAAGCGAGATTGCATGAATACGAACAATAGAAGTGATGTTTAGTTCTGGAAAGACTATCCGTATTAATAAAAATAGTTTTACATAGTCCGCCTCGATTTGTGATACTTGAAAGTAAACGTGTATGGTCAGGTGGTTGCGAGAAAAGAGGGATACGAAAACGTGGAGAAGGTCCTCGGACGTGCGGCATGTCGGTGTGGAGAAAGAGAAGGTTTACGAGAAATGCGGCCACCGCAACACACGCGGTGGCCGAGACCAAACCAAACCAAAGATTAATGTACTACACTTACTGGGGCAATTTGCGCCAAGTGTCGGCTGTAGAACTGTGTATACCTCGAGTTCTGGAGGTAGATTTGTTCCACGGGCACTCGCGGGGAGATCCCTCGCCCTCTGTTTCTATCCCCGAAGAATAACACGAAAGGAAAGTTTCAAATCCACCATGAAAAAAAAAGACAAGGAAGAATGATAAAATTTTGTACGAGATTTTCTAAATTTCAATGTAACGAACGTTAACGCGATCATTGACGTCACCAACGTTTACTGAATCGCTAATGAAAAATTTTCGCTAGCGATACACAACTGCCGAATCGAAAAAGTCATCCGGCACGATCCGCTAATATTCCCGAACAAATGAATAATCGCTGCCGCGGAAGCGTCGAGTTCTGTCGACATGCCACGTGGGGGCCAAGATATAAGCAAATTAAATATGCATAATTAAAACGAAATAGCGACGGGAGAAACGTCGCTCGTGTGGTTCTGGCTGGCTCGAATCAGAGGGAAGAGGACTTAAGGCAAGGAACATTCTCGTAGCAACATCTGGCCGCTATGAAGTATAAAGAGGCATGCGATATCATCCGCAGTGAATGCTTAATTAAAACCTCAGACTCCTCAGCCACGGAGTTCCCCTTAGTCGCCCGCTAATCGCAAGAACCACCGTTGCTGTTCAACACGAGCCAGCTCACCTTTACGTATATATCCCTGTGGTAACAATCCCTTGCTTCACGTTCGCTTTACGAATGATTTCCATTCCCTGCTGATCGTTTAACAATCATATCCGCTTTCATCACACTGTTATTCGGCACTTAAATGTATACGACTTATAAATTAAATAATTTTCTTTAAGTCACATTTAAAGGAAATTAGAGATTTATCTAACAATAAGTAATAAGTCTCTTAAATTGCGTCTTGCGTGGATTTTAATAAAAATCTGATCTTTAATCAAAACTTTCTTCGTATAAAGCTGAGCAACAATTTTTAATCGATCCTCGAAGCAACGTGATAAGCGACAAGAAAGGTGAATTTAAAAAGCGGTAGTGAAAGTAGGCGCTCTATAGCATTTCCGGTGGCATACTAGCTACCCAGCGGGACGAGAGAAAATTTCACTTGGAGCGTTTAACGAGTTCGCTTTTACCCCAGACGACGAAGAAGAAAAAAGTTGGAAGAGGGTCGAAGTGGGGAGAGGAGTTTTAGGTACGAAAAGCGAGCCTCTGCTTTCCAGTGGAGCAAGGATGGCAAAGACCCGTCTCAGTGATCCGGTGAGATTGACAGGTCGAGCCCTACTCGTGGACCCGTGCCGGTTGCTATGCTAAAATGGCGATGAAAGATGATTTACTTTTAATGGTGGAAAACGCTACTTTCAGTACGCACTTCTTTTGGCTAATTATAACGACTCGTTGAAGGAAGGACCATGATCTAGTAAATGTGCAGTAACTCCCGGAGCTCTTACAAAACGTTCTAGCTAAATTTTCGTCCGCATATACATATCTTATACAGAAAGTATCTTATCGTTCCACTTGATACACAACGCGTATTATTAAGCTGTTGTAACGATGGACATGCATGGTTGAGTTATTGCGAGGATGCAGGTACGCATTTTTCGTACACCCTATAGCACATATATCATGCGTCGTCGCAGGAGAGACAGCAACGTCAATATATATGCAAACGCCGATATAACGATCTATCGGTACGTAAATACATAAAGGGCGAAGACGAGCGTGGGAGAAAAAGCGATGGCACGAAAGAAAAAGAAGAAAACAAGCGGCGAGAGACGCGCGCGCGGAATAAGAGAGAGAGAGAGAGAGAGAGAGAGAAAACTCCAAGCTTAATATAAAACTTCATTTCGCAATCGGCAGCAGCCGGAGGAAACGCGAAGATCCGACACGCAGAAATTCCGCGGTCGTCACAAAAAGGGCGAGCTCGAAAGAATGTTATTTTTCTGGCATTAAGCTTTTCGCGGTGCGCAAAATTGCTCCAAATATAACTTATTATTCTCGACAAAATATCGCAGCGCAACGTGCTGCTTTAAGATGGAAAAGATTTTGGTGACAACTTTCGAAACGCTGCGAAGCGCGAAGCGGCGAATTATTTTGAGATTAATAAAACGAACGTAGAGAGAGATCCGAACGGTGAAAATTATCGCCGAGCAGTTCTCCCGAGGAATCCGTTATCGGAGAAACTCCGCCTTACACGGCAAAAAGAGTAAAATAAAGAATCGCCGAAGAAAGATAGCGTAGTCGCTTTTATCACGCGAAGCGCTGCAACTGTGTCGATCTGAGGAACGCACCCCTTTTTCCCCCGTCGCTCTTTTCTCGAACTTTTCGTTCGTATATTTCGGGCCTTTCTTCCTATATGTTTTCGGAGTACGCCTGAAAGAAGGGGTCGGGCTGCCGAACATCGGTGGCGCGAGCGAGGCGCGCGCGATGAAACTTTTAATAAATGGCAGAGTCGATATGAAGTATAGGACTTTGACATATCGTGTGTCTGTAATGTATAGTTAAATCTGGTGGCAGATGTGGAGGGTGTTCTCCGTTCTCTCGTCTCTCTCCGTTATCCCTCCCGCTCACTCGCCCTCTTTCGCCTCCTCTCTAGCCATCCGCGCCCGCTTCGCGCTCCGGAATGGTTGACACCCTTGCCCCTCTCTGAAATTTCCTTCTAACCCACTGACGCAATTGAATAAATTATTAATACGAATCTACACATACGAAAAAGATAACGATTAAGATATGTTTTGTTCTATTGATCAACAAATTTTTACCAAACGTTTCCACAATTTTTTTAATCTCTCGCATTTTCTATATTTTTCTTTTCAGATTTTCATTAGAAGAATTATTTGTATTATATCTGTTGCGCAAAGATTTATTTTAAGTCTTAAATCTTATTATTAAGATTTACATAAAGTTAAGAGAAAATAATAAACGAATCTTTGTCGTTCTATTGCAACGTGAGGTACATATAAATGTATTATTTAACTGCTGCAATATGTAGGACACGGTGAATTTCATCTTCTCACGCTAAAGGGGATCGATTCTAGCAAGTAAACGACTTGCTTCATGCGGATCACTCAATGAGGGTAGTGGCACAAATTTTTTTCTTTGGAAGCAACAGTGAACTTTTCAATCAAACTGCCTGTCTAAATGAAAGCTCCTCCACAAAGCGGATCAGGGTAATCTGTCATCAAAACTGCTCCACAGCGAGCCGTCGCGATGCCAGTCGGCGCGCCTCCAGCAACCCCCGACCGTTGCAATAACGACACGGCTGCATTCGATCCATGAAACTACCCAATACCAAATTCGCTTTTGAAGGAGCATTTTGTATATCATACTTGCATGGTATAAATATAAATGCATAGAAGTATAACGATTTACATTCCAACGATATACATGGATTGATCGTAGGTGAATACTTAAAACTTCTCTTATCGAACGTCGACACACGTCCCTGACATTACGAGTAAGTAAATGAATAAATGAGAACAGCAAGTATAGATAAATAGCTACATCACTTGTAACAAAATTAAAATATCTTAATGGATAATCATAAATACGATAACAAATCACAACTTTGAATTACTTCGAGAGAATTGGAGCCGACCCAAGGATCATTCTATTATTATTACACGTAACGTCAAACGCAAAAAAGAGGCATCATTGGACCAAGTCCAACGGCAATGTGGAACGTGATGAAAGTAAATAGCTCGATTTGACGAACCTCTTTTAACGTTTCCGGTCGTTTCACGGAGTTGACGATGAATTCGCGGTATCACTCGTGGGTTAATAAAAGCGAGAGACTGTCGTACCTCGTACCTTGATTCGGAGGCTCATCCAGCGAAGGTGGAGGACCGCGTGGCCGAGCACGTGAGAAAGTTCCCCACCACTTGACGGGACACCGAACGACGCGCTCGCGCGTACCGCCCACAGTTGCGCCGGGTAACCGTGGCCGCCCAAACGGGCCTCGTGCTCGTCCGCACGAGAGAGTCGCCCGCCTGCACTCTCACGGCACGGACCTGGTCGTCGTACCCTCCTGGCTGTGTGTGCCCTCCGAGCCCTCCAAGGCCACCGTCGCCACGACAGGCCAGCCCGCCTACGTCGGCGGAGGGCTGTGCCTCACCGCTCGCGTTACCGCTCCACGATTGGTCGCTCCATTCCGGCGAGCCAAGTCACGTGACCGGGCCGCCGCCACATTAAAGGACGACTTCCACCTCGATGCCGAAGTGGACTCCCAGCCGCCCCCTCCCGGAACGAGGAAAGAGACAGCAGTAACAACAGAGACACCGGGAACACCGGAGAGGCGAAAAAGATCGTGGAAATTTCGGTCCTGGCGACTGGAGACGACCGTCTCTTTCTACGGGACGTCCTTCGCCTCTCTTGCCGCACCTTCTCGCTCGGCGGGTACCTCCACCACGGGCCTCGCGGACCCCCCACCTTCCCACGGCTGCTATCTCTACATCCTCTCTCTCTCCTCTGTCACTTACCAAGTATACCGCGATCGGTGACTGGCTTGGCGTACCCTAGCCCGCTTGCCTGGGTTTCGGCCGATCGGCACCGGTCACGGCAGCCGCGGTACGCGCGATTCGCCACGGCGTTCTCCGTCGATCGGTCGGACTATCGATCAACCCGTCGCGGCTACGTGTGACAGTGGTGATTTGTGCTTGGTTGTTCCCGCATTGAGATGGCGGATCTATGAATCGGAGCTCTTGTCCGAGCTACGTCGATCGCGAGTAAACAGTGTCATGTTCGTAGCGTGGTCCACAAGTCTGCTTCTCGTTGATACCAGGTGAATTTAATATCATGAGACAAGTTACTCCAGTTAGTTTGTAAAAGAAGATGAGTACGGATACACAGTTTATGATGATATAGTGAATATCACTGTGTGTAGTGAATACGTGGTAAACAATTGTAATTAACAATTGCTAATCGATGTATCTCTTGGCATAAACCATAATGCAAGTAAGTAATAAGTGTAATCGAGGAAAGGCGATACTTGAAAAGATTGCATGAACGAGAAAAGTAATCGATTTCGTGTGTTATTAAAATAAAGAATGAGTAAAGCTTTGCATCATACGCGCACTGATGACAATATATGAAAGAAACGATAATAGGTGATAGGCTACACAAGCAGATCCATGCTTTTCTTTAGCCTCCTTCAGAGTAAATTTCGGCTTAATGAATTTCCACGGATTAATGACAATGCGATGTTTTAATATATAAATACTCTATACACATATGTACACATACATTTTGAAAGTTAAAGAATAGAAGACGAAACTTTAGTGAGACATTTATCGAGTGAATTAAGTGCATAGAGTGTTTTTCAAAGTCTACACGTTTCGAAATTACACCAAAGAAGGACATCGCGAAAAAGGAATCACTTAATATCTCACGTCATTTTTTATTAACAATCAATAATAAGTTATTCCCTGATAGCCACATTTACCATTAGAAGAAACAAACTGCACTGAAAATTAGTGCACATTATCCCATGCGTAGCAAGCAACAAACATTAGTACACCCCGAAGAGAATCCGCACCAATCGCAGTTGTCCAGCTCTGGCAATCTGCAGCTCATTCAATCATCTCAATCATCTCAGCTCAATCATCTTCAGAATTTGGTTCACGCGAGTAAAGAACTATCGACCGTGAAGACGAGGCCGACGACACCCGTCCTGGCGAACGACGGAGGGGGCAGCTTCTGGCTGGCCACGGTGGCCGCGGGGGCAAGTACCCCAGCCGGGCTGCCCCCGCACGGAACTCATCATCCAGCCATGGATCCAACATGCGGATCCGCCGAAACCGGCTTCATCAACAGTCAACCCTCCATGGCCGAATTCATGACGGCATTGCCGCAATTAGCTGGGGACAGCAGCCTACAACACTCGCCGGGGACCGGTGGTTCCATCAGTCCTGGTGCTCATCATCCCGCGTATCATACTATGATGGATCCCCATGGTGTCGCTGACCCCTCAGGTGTCAACGTTCCTGAGTATCCCTGGATGAAGGAAAAGAAAACTACTAGGAAAAGTAATCAGCAAGGTAAGTCACCAAAATTGTTTAGTTTTGAAAATCATCGCATAACTGTTAGCGAGAAAAAGTTTGAAAAAAAAAACGTATCTTTGAATTACTACTATAAAAACAACGCATTAATTATAATATATTTATTGAAAAATTATTGTATCAATTATTTTTTATTAATTATTAACAATAATTAATAATTTTAAAATCAAGTATCTGTTTAATCCTTATTTGTAAGAGATAAATAATAGATAATTGCCATCATAAACTTAATTGTTTAAAAATTATATTAATTAATATTAATGTAAAAATCTTAGCGGAGAATAGCAATAGATACCCTATTGATGTCCATTGTCTCTACTAAAATCTATATTGAATAAAACGATGAAATTTGTCAGGAAAACATAGTGACAAACGTGAATGTCAATTAACGTGACCATTAGGATTCGGCATGCCATTTACAGCGTTAGGAGTCTATTGGCTTCTCGCCGCTACATTGTGGCTCACCACGGGGTGCCTATCCGACGGCTAATAACAATTTCAAGCCGTTCCTTTCTACTAACTATGCCGCACATCTGGAATACATGTCAATACCACAGATTTCTGAACATTTGTAAACATTCGGTTCAAATTATGATATATTGTCTCGTCAAAATGTGTCATCCAGATGGGAAAAATTTGTCGAAAATGACCAACATAGCTTCTGGACAGAATTGTGTCTCGCACAACTCATCACGTATTCGTAATTTGCAATATACTAATAATTTATATGAAATAATCATTTATATGAAAGATTAATGCCTCATACGCCAAAAAATATATTTAAGTATCTTTTATTTATTATTGCATTTACTATACATAAGGACTCTATGAAATTCTGTACGGTACGAAGTAAAAGTGTCGCGAATTAACATCGCTACGTTAAATCCGTAAGATATCCGCAGCATTTGTTTTTCCAACAACTTGTTGGTATTGCGAAGCTATCGAGGACCAACCGATAAATTTGTGGAGAGATTCACGACACATTGGTCCCCGATAGCCTTACAATAGCCAACAAGTTGTTCGGAAAACGAGTGCCCGCAAATATTTCCCTGACCTAACGCAGCGAAATTAATTCGCGAGACTTCCAATAAATTGCTCATATATATTTTTTTTAATACAAAAAATAATAATAAATGAAATATACGGATTATATCTTTTTAATGAATTAATTTTACACGTTGAATTGCATGATACTTCGCGCATCATTGAAGCTCATATAATAGTGAATGGCGATACAATCCGAAGGGTTGGCTAACTTTATGGGCCACTAGGGTCGCCGTTCGACAACGTCCGGGACCCTACAAACGTCTTAGTCTATTTATCTATCCCTATTTCTCTCTTTCTCACATCGATCTTGCGTCTACAACGGCGATTTAACGTCGTGCCGACTCCAAAACGTGGTCGGACCGTCCGCAGGACACGTCGGAAGATTAAGTGTTTGGCACGGAGGTTAACCAGCCGCTGGCCAGGCGGTAACACGCGGAATCATCTGTAAATTGAGCCCAGGACTAGCGGGAGAGAGCGTCGGGACGGCCATAACTCACATGGGGTGCCGCCACCGACGCCTCGTACACGTCGGCTCTTTGCTTTCAACTACCGTGTTATCCCTTATCGCGCGCTGCCTCGGTCATCTCTTTATGATTTGCGGGCCTATATATAATAATCGTGCGCCTCTTTATAATTATACTTTTCGCGATAAAAGTGTATGAAAATTCCACATCTACTAAAATTTAAATCTAATTTTCTGAATGCATAATTTAAAATTGCGTCTTATTATGTTAAAACATAAGTATTATGACAATACTGATAAAAATTTTATATCAGATTTATTATTCAGAGCTTTCGATTGAATTTATATTATTTTATTAAAAAAACGACACTTTTTCGTTTTAATCATGCCTAAATTTCCTTGAATTATAGCCAATAGAAATTAAACTCATTATCCCGTTATTACGATTTTAACTGTCGAACCCACATTAATGAATTTCTATCCAAGACGGCGTTATCTCCGTTATGAGGATGGTGTGGCCTACGAAACCTTAAGTAACATCTCGTCTTTTCGTATGTGTCACCATGCTGCTCGTATTAAATTTCAATCTGTTACATCTACGTGTCCTCCAGCTGAGATGTTTTAGTTCGGGGACGCCCGTGGATGGAACGATGAAGGAGGACGTGGTCTGATTAGTTGAGTTATTTGCCAGGAGAAGAGGCGCGACCGACGTTCCATGCTTCGTCGGTAATTCTTGCTGGATACCTTTTCTACAAAAAAGCCACGAATCTACGAGTGTTTTTCCCGACGCCTTGTTCCAGGCGTCTCATCAGTCACGTCGGTGGGTGCCAAAGCAGAGGCGTCAGCCCAGCAGACTCCTCCAAGACGCCGATGTGTCAATTAATCCCTGCATCCCTCGGGATAGGACTAGGCTAGAAGCTGGATTATCATCATCCTTGCGCTGCTATCTTTCGTCCTTCATCTAACACCCTCCTGCGGGACGGCCATTTTCGTGGCCGAACTGCTTTTTACTAAACTACATCGGGCTGCGTTTCCGTCATTAATTAATATACCGGTGATACTTGATGGTCTTGGTGTCACTAATAGTCCAGCTTAATACTCGCAAACTTGTTAAATAAAATTATGATACAATTCTAAATCCGTATGAACGGAGTGAAAATAACGGGGACGGATATAAGAACGGGGATTTTCCAAGAGCCTACGGCGAAACACAAATATCGGAATGAAACTCAGGGGAAGGAGGGCGTAAAGATTCGATAACGAAAGAAGGGTGGAAGGAATTGACTATACTTGGCGATTCCATGATATAGGTGATTGAGCGAGTGGGGCTTTACCCTTCGGGGAGGAGCGCAGTACGAAAAGAACGGAGCATCTAATTTAAAGATTCATTGGCGAGTAAATCCTCGCTGAATTAGAGATAACTCTCCTAGAAAATCCCAGCTACTATGACGCTCCACAGCCCGCTTTCTCTGCGGTTGCTCATGGGAAAGAAAAGAGTCTTGTGTGTGAAACGATCATATTCATGAAAAACGCGAATTCAATGTATGATGAGATACGCTGAAGATAATCTTTCCAATACTCACTGATATAAATGATCAATCTTCGCACTAATCTCCGATTAAAAATACTGTTCATAATATAGCATTATGTATATTATAAATAAAAATCATCTTATTATTAACTATACTGTTATTAATCACTAGTAATGATGTACATACAAATAAGATTTTGGTAAAAAATATTGCTTCCATAAATTTGTCAACGAATCGACAGATTAAAGGACATATGTACGCGATATGTTTGACATATGGTTACAATACGTATTATAGTAGTTATCACTCAAGCAGCGGGAAGTGTTAGCAGCCGTTACGCGAGATGATTGCAAATATTCGATGCGGAGTCCGTTCAATCTGGCAAGACGAATTATAGAAAGGAAGAAACGTACGTAGTTCTCATACGTTCTCATACATACAGTTTTCCCAGCTCGCACGTTGGTGCAAAACATCTGGAGGAATAACGTCGCATAAAATATTCCAGATTATCCCCCAAACCGAGTACGACGCGCCTCACAGCTGCAGCAGGGGGTTTTAGTAGCAAGATGCGGGTGGCTCGCCCGTTTGCACAGAGCTCAAATAATAAACACGGTATAACAAATTGATAATCTGAAACCCCATAATCGTACGCATGTTTCGCCCCGGAATCTGTAGCCCGGCACTAAAAGAAGTTTCCACGCTCGTTGTTACGCCAAATGGAGCGCTATAAAAGTGTGGCGTTCGTATCGTTGTACTGCCTCTCTGTCTCTCTATCTGTCCCCCTTCTCTCTCTTTTTCTTTCCCACTTTGCTATCGTCTTCTCTCAATCTTTGCAAATCGCGCAATGTGATTTTTGTGAGTAAAAAGAAATTTTTACGTTACTGACATTCAATGACGTGATAAATAACATAATCTATATAATTGCCGATATTAATAAAATTTTCTTTTTAAGCAGAAAAGATAATATAATTAATATAATATACGATCGGAGACGTAATACAAGCCAATCGGTGATTTGCTCTACAATATGTTCCATAAAGAAAGTGAAACAGCCGCGATTTTCTGCGACAATAATAATTTTATGCAAATGTTCGAAGGTGAAGCGTGAAGCTCTCTAGAATGGCGACGATATTGTCAGATAGACATCTCTCGCCATGCTTTTCGTATCTTCCCCTCTCTAGCAGGGAATAAAAGACATTGAGGTTCCTATATCTGTTATTCTACACTCGTAAAAGGAAAGGAGGTGTAAAAATTTGCAAAAAAGGCGATAACATATGCTGGAGGGTCAATCATAAATGATAGTAAAAACAAACATATCTTGTTATTAAAATTTTTATTTCTTATAAATAAACCGAAGACATCAGCAACTACTCTAATTATTCGTGTTAATTGTGCACAACAGTGCGAAAAATTATACTAACATTTTCCAAATTACGTTAATTAGAAGTAAAATCTGCTTTCACTAAGTTTCTCTGATTTGTGTAATATTTATCTGTATATTCTTTTTAAATAATACTCTCGCTTGTCCTCATCCCCCCTTTGCAACATTTTTATATCGAATATTTTTATACGTGAATGCGATTATTTGAGTAAGCTATAGGAATTTCTAGTAATCACAATTTCTCTAGTTTATTTAAAAATAAAATTTTAAAATTGCGTAACGCAAGCACGCCAATATATCTCGCAATTCGTATTTAAAGAATCTTGACTGCCAGTCTAATAAATTGCCAAACTGTTTATAAACCGTTTAAGCGTTAGCAGATTCTGCGACAGGAATGGGAGTGAGAATCTGAGAGGAACTTGAGCCGTAAAGTAAAGGGATGGTTGAGTGACGATGAGAGCTATGATGGATGGAGAGGTGGACAGGTCACGAATATCACGTGACAATAGAAAAAATTGTTATTTATTTTCTTAATATTTTTTATGTTTTTGGAATT